TAAGGGAATGCGAAAAGTGCTTACAGTCTTTCATCAAAGCTTCATTTTTATTTAGACTTCGAAACTGCAATTTCAGCCTTGCAGCATCAAAATCGGCTTTTTCTCTTTTCTGAAAAACATGTCCCGATATTTTCAGATATCATCTTAAAAGTCAATGTTTAGATTGAATTACAATCATAATTACTCAAGTTATTAAGCAGTGATTTACAATAACCATGGAAATGAGCACTTAATTTAGTAGTTAAATTCTTGCTTTTAGTCTTGCATTCTTCTTCTTCAGCATTTCTTAATTCGAAATTAGAATTAATGATAAGTTAAAGTATCTCATTTAAAATTAAAATATTAACGGAAGTTGAAGCTCGGTTTTCATAAAAAATCAATGTTTAAATTTGAAAGAAAAATTAATTTTAATCGCTAAAAATAAAAAAATCTATTACAAATTAAAAATTTTATTAATTTCGCCACTGAAATATTGCTCAAAACTTAATTATTAAAGTTTATTTTATTACTTTGAGTTGTCAAATGGTCACACGCATGTGAACATGCATATAAAATAATCAATTAATTTGAAAAAAAAATATTTTTTTATGTGAATTGCTATTTTCTAATAGCCTTGGCAATTAATGAAAACGAAATTTGATATAGCTAGAAATTTTTTCATAGTCTAATATACAAAAACTCTTACAAATATAAAATTTTCACAAAAATCATTTTTTAAATTTAAAATAAAGCTTAAGCCTAAGTTCACCCTAAGCCTAAGCCTAAGTTCACCCTAAGCCTAAGCCTAAGTTCACCCTAAGCCTAAGTCTATTATTTAGGATGTTAAATGACCACATTCCATACAATGCATATAAAATATTTAATTAAGTTGAAAATAAACATTTTTTTAATGAATTACTATTCCCAAAAAGTTTCAGTACCTAATTAAAATGAAATTTGATAATACTACAATTTAATTCCCAGTCTAATATACAAAAACTCCTACAAATTGTACGATTTTCATAGGAATCAATATTTAAATTTGAAATAAAAATTAGTTTTAATTGTAATAATGAATTGAAACCATGACAAATTAAAAATTTTGTTAATTTCCCTGCTGAACTATTGTTCAAAACTTAATTATTAAAGTTTATTATATTATTTAAGCTGTCAAATGACATCACACTTTATGTGACCAATACCCAGGCAATGCATATAAAATAAAAATTCTATTTTAAGTTACTTGAATGACCAATTTCAGTTGTTGAAATATTAATAAAATAATATATTCCAATTTTTCAAACCATAATTAATTGACAAATCAATCAAGTATCACATATTTCTACTGCAATAATAAAATTGCTTATTAATTTCAACCTTCCAATGTTACGTTCATGTAATTTTTAACTGATTTTGACAACGAATTTAAGATAAAGTAGAATTAAAATTGAATTTTTATTAAAAACTTAAAAAACAAACATTTTGAAATTATTCGACATTTTGCTTAGGGTAATATTTTCAGGCAATGTGATTTTTCTTTTGCGCAAAATTTTTTTTCACATATTATTTGAATGATCAATTTCAATTCTTAAAAGATTAATAAAATGATATATTCCAATCTTTTTAATTTCAATTAATTGATAGATTGATGAAGTTTCACATATTTCTAATGCAATAATAAAATTTCTTATTAATTCTAACCTTCCAATGTTAATTTTATGTTATTTTTAAGTTATTTTAGCAAAGAATTTGAAAAAAAAAAGAATTAAAATTGATTTTTCATTAAAAAATACAAATATTTTGAAAGAAAATAAAATATTGAAAGCTTTTTTTTTTTGTTTAAACTGTCAAACGACCCTGATCCTATGTGAGCAGATCACGTGCAATGCATATAAAGTGATCAATTAAGTTCAAAATAATTCCTTTTTTAAATTAATTGCAATTTTTCAATAGTTTCAGCACTTAATTAAAACAAATTTTAATAATATTAAAATTTATTTCTTTGTTTAATATACAGAAACTCCTAATTCCTTATGGATTATTTGGAAGATTACGTCGGGCAACATAAGGAGCAACTATGAAGGACTGATGATTTACTTGGAGATTGTGAAGTGTGGAAAAGTTATTCCTGTTTCATAACTCAATGTTTACCAAATAAGTAGCTGTATCTGACCTGTTTAGTTCATATTTGATTTAAAAAAAAAAAGTGAAAACAATAAACCAATATTTTGTTTTGATAAAATATTTCCATTTCTAAAATAATTTATACTCATCAAATAAGTACAAAAAGGAATAAGCAATAAACAATGTTATCAACAAATTCCTTCCAATAGAAACTATTTTGATTTAATCCTCCAAATTAAATCTCAATTTTTATCGATATGGGAGAAATTAAGCATATGTAAGAAAAAATAGAATGACTGAATTCAGATTGATATAGGAGAATTTTTATAAACGATATCTCAAGAAATCCCGAGTGGGACGTTTGATACATATAATACTAAATCTAGTGGTATCATTATAAGAGTAAGCAGTCAAATTGTGACATTTTATTGAATAAATTATAGGACAAAATCAATAATTGAATAATTTATGCTAAAAAATGCTTCACCATGTTTTAACAAGAAAAAAAAAGAAAAGAATTTCTATTTACTGATTGATAGCATAAGAAATATGGGAGGTGAAACCTGCATATACTACTTTATTTGAAGATTTTTCGTAGGTATTCTCATCTATGATGTTTCTTCTATCATTGATAAAAGAATATTTAACAAATCACCATTAAAATAGTTGAGAATTTAAAAAATTTTCGCTTTTTTTTTTTTTTTTTGAAGAGTCTAAAAAGATCGAATAACATTTATAAATCATAGTCTTTCAGCAAATATCATTGATAAGAGCAATCGAACTGACTGATAAAAACACAACTTTCAAATGTTTGCACTTAAATATCAAATCGGCTAACATTCATCAGCGTTTCATACAAAATGATGACATTCCTGATATTTTGTCATATTTATTTTATGGGAATCTATGTGAATGGTGTAATTTTACCAAATCGTTCGGGATTATTAACAATCCGAATATGTAACCATCTGATGGGTAAAAGCATTTTTATATTTATAACTAAAAATTGTTTCTGAAACGGATGAACTTTTTAACAAGTTAATAAAATTTCTATGTATCTCACATATTCTCGATTTTTTGCAAACCACTGGATTATAAAATTTAACTGGAATTTGGTCAATAACATCTATATTTCAGACGCGGCGAAACAAATGACACTCAGCAAACAATTGAGAAAACAAATTTGGAACCCAAAAGTGTTTCTGGCATTATCTCCAGTTAAATTTCAGGTAGTAAAGTCCTGTAGAATTTCTGTAGCTTCACAACTACCTTCACGACAAATGTCATGCACTATAATCGGTTTTTGCTATACGCAAAAAATTAGCTGTGAAATTTGCAAAAACTTGTTCAATGTGGCTGTTAAGCTACCAAGAACTCCTGGTGTAAGTTAATCAAAAATTTAAATTAATTTTGAGCTTAGTATTTACCTAAATAAAATAATTACTGGAACAAAACAGACCAATGGGATGATTATCGGAAGATACAGGAAGGAACGGGTATACCTTCCTGATACAGCGTAGCAGCTTACTCTCTGCAGGGAGCATAAAGAAAAGATCGAATCTTTGAAGATCAATAGGAAAGTTTTCTTCTGAGAAAACAGAGAAATTTGCTTGAATTAACTTAAAAGAAGCATATACTACTAATTCAGTCTTAGTTATTTAATTTAACTGCTTAATGACTCGTTTAATTCTTCTTTTCAAACCCTACATTAATTTATAAGTACAGTTTTATATGTAAATACTAGCATGTATGTACCTTTTATGTTTTATGTAAAAGCAGGAACATGAATCACATAAATTTCAAAATAGAAATAAACAAATTATATCAATTTCGAATACAATTTCTCATCAAAAAAAAAAAAAAAAATTGAAACATTTTAAGGATCTATTTAAACAACGCTTACAGTTGTACTGTTATTCATTGGAATTCTTGGATACAACCTGCAATATGATTGTCGATGAGTATCATAATCAAATTAATGAAATGTCATTGGATAACAATCAAACCAATTCGCAACACTGCAAAACGTTAACCCTTTGTGGTTGATAATAGTTCTTCCTTTTGTAAAAAAAAAAACTAATGAAAATTTGCCTTTATAAAACATCAAGAAATCAATTACAAGGAGCAATAAAATATTTCAAAACAACTTTCCCATTTCTGAGATCAAGCAAAACCTGGAATCTATAGATTTTGATAACTAGCGTGTCATTCTTTCTTGGTTATACCAATCAATGACAAACATTACATTGAATGGAAGGACTAAAGTTCTTGACTAATAAAGGTTACATTGCCTTCAACTTTCAACTTTTAAAGTCTTACTGTATTTGTAACTCTCCAGAGAGTGAAAAATCATGCACATTGCGAAAATGGATGCATAAGATGAAAAAATTAGAATTAAGAAGTTCTGAAAGAAGTGAAAACCAAAAACATCCTGGACAACTGTATCATAAAATTTCTAAATTTTAGTCTGAAAATTAAAAAACCTAAAAGACAAACATTCATGTAAGTGTAAGAAAGTCGTTAATTGTAGACATTAATAAAATCGCTCTGAAATAGAAAGAATAATATTAAAGACAAATGAACAATACCACGAAGAAATTTAATAGATTGGAAAAACAAACAAACAACAGTCTAGCATTGTGAATATTTCCTGCACTTCTTTTCGGACTATGTTAGATATCTCATCATTATTTCATATCCGCTACATATATATACGTAACTCAGTTCCACTATAACGAAAGAAGTGAAGATGATTACTTGACCTACCACCCAGATAATATTGAGTTCAAATTACTTCATTATGGAGTAGTAGCATTTTGCAATTTTAAACTTTTTAAAAGAAAATCTATTCAAAATGAAATCATTTCAAACAAGCTTGAGTTACTACAATCATGTTATTATGGCTTCCATAATTTCAATAATCCGTCTTCCGCATACGAAGCTATCAGATTCTGATGGGGATGATGGCACAAACCATTCACTCGATCATCATGTAACTGCAAAAAGCAGATATAAACAAATAAAATAGAATCAATTTTTTCAAAAATTCAATCTTCGGAGATTTCCACGTCAAATATTTTATTTTATCCAAATAAGGAGTATTTATTTCCATCTATTTATTTCTTTCAATGATAAAATTATTTAACATACCGGTAATGTACTTTCCAAATTGCCAGTAATTAGTGAAAAACAATAAAGTACATGATCTTCTCCAACACAATAAACCCAATCGCCACGAGGAGATAATGTACATGCAACAAAATTGCCATTTTCAGTTTTACCTGAAGTCATTGATTTCACGATCTGAAATATGAGAAATAATTCAGGGAAAATACTTTTTAAGATTTTATTTTGATGCTTTTTAAAAAAATTTTTAAGGAAGCATCAAAATTAATTATTAAATTCAAAAATTTTTGAATCATAGACTAAGAATTTATACAGTTTTTACCTGTCCTCGAATATTCACAATAACAATCGTATTTGACCGATTGCAAATGATGAATTGATTATCAGATTTGGGAATTGGATTTACGCTATTCATGACTATATCACCTGCTACTCGAACCGTATTCACGCACTCACAAGTTTTCAAATTCCAAACTCGAACTGTTCCATCACTTGAAGCAGAAACACACATATGGCCATCCTGAAAGACATAAATCTTAAAAATCTGGCTTTGGAATTGGTCAATAAAGCTACAAAAGTGGTAGAACAACGTGTAGCGCGACTTTTTATTCAACTCCTTTTAAGTAGCTTACCTCCGTATATTTCGCATCATTAACATAATTTGTATGTCCTCGAAGTTCCTTCAGACATTTGCCACTCTTTAATCCATGAACTCTACAAATAATAATAAAAATAGTGCTGATGAAAGCAATAAAGTCCAAAAATGTGTAAAATGGATACAAGTCAATAATGCATATACCACAAATGACAGCTTTCAAACTCCTCGTAATTAAACTCCTTTCAATTCATTAATGTAGCACGAAGAATAAATATAACATACTTCACAAGAGTATCAAACGATGCTGAAAGGACATGTGCACTGTCTTTCGAAAAATGTACACTAGTAATGCCCATGTTATGTGCTTTCTCGATACGTCTTAAACATTGCCCCGTTTGTATTTTCCATACCTAAATTGCAACAACAAGTTGTAAAATCCATTAACTGAAAAAAATATCTGAATAGAATATTTACTTGAAAATGTTTTTGAAATTTATTTAACTTCGCCAAAAAAGACAAAAGAATGTTGCTTATCATTTCTTAGAGTTGTAGAAATTGAATATATATTTTTAGATCAAGTGAATATAAACATGACATCACAGGATCATAGCATGAAATATGCTATCTGCAACTCCAGAGACATGCCAAAAAGGATTTGTGGAAAATTTGATTTGTGCAAACACTAATTAAAAGTTCAATGATATTTCTAATATTTTATATTATAATGCAATGCGAAACAAAAAAAACCTTTATTTTGCCTTCCATGCTAGCTGTGACTAACATTTCCGAATCACGACTGAAACATAAACTTAAAACTAGACCATCCATCATCATAAAATTATCTTGCGCTTGATACTTCAAATCCTTCCGTAGCTTTCCATTCATATAATTCCAAACCTTAAATGAGAATATGATTCATGATTGATTTAAAAAGACAGATATCCACACTGAAGTTTCAAAAACAAAAGAAAATCTGACTTCAATAAAACCATCCACTGAACCGGTAACCAAGTACTGTCCATCCGGTGAAAACTGCGAGCAATGCGGGAAACTTGTTTTACCAAATTTAATTTGACGCGCCATTTGTGTTGGATAGCGTTCCTCCTCCTGTTCACGAATTGCGGCTTTACCACGAAATAAGTCGATCTGTGTTCCTAAATATTATAAAGATCATGGGCATTATAAAAAGATCCATAAACAAAAACCAACATAAGATAGAAGAGCTGGAAGGAACTTTCGGGAATAAAAATATTAGTGTAGAGTGTTTTTTCTTTTAATAATTCGACAAAGTGGGAAGCATGATGATATAGTTAATGACTGTTTATAGTCGATAAGTTACTGCTCCAACAATTTTTCCTCTTATTACTTCATAAATAGGAACTGTAATTACGTAAACCGAGAGGCATTTATTTTACCATCAAAAAATTTCGAATATTAAATGCTAATTCGTTTGAATAATGAAATTATTGAATTAAACCGGGTGGAAGAAGTCCTTGATGCTGTTGCCATTTCAACGCTTGTGCCAAAAGTGCCAGTAACCTGGACGGTGGTACAACGTTCACTTCGGCAGATAAAGACTGCAAAAAAATTTCTTTTCTCTTGATGAATTTCAGTAATAAATGTTGAGAACATCAGATGCATACTACAAGCAAACCAACCATATAAATAAACTACTAGCATAAAATAAATAAACTGAATCTATTTGAACAAAACTCAAAGCCAACCTGTGCAATAGCAGCTCTTCGCTTCTCTTTTGAGCTACCATCAGGATATACTTCACGTGGATCAAAGTAAGAACGAGCCAGAAGATTGTCTAGTCGAGCATATCTGGAATATGAGAAAATTTATATGAAGAAATCTGTAACATCAAGGACTATATGATTACCTCATTTTTAGATATTATATAAAGAAGGAGGGTAGAAAATGACAGATAAACGAAAATTTCCTAATTCTTAGATTTCTTTTCAGTCTGGAATTCTCAAAAACTGAGAAGCGATTATAGGCTAAATAGCAATATTTAGCGTAGGACTTAAGTTAATCTTAAGCACGAACATTAGCAACAATAAATTTGTCAGCATATTATGTTGATATTATTAATAGTCAACACAGTACCTCTCTGGCTCTGTTGTTTTGAGTAGTTGCATTGGATCGGTTTGTCGCAGAAGAAGTCGAGCTGAGCCCAATTCACGCAATTCCGTTAATTCAATTACAATCTGAAAAGTAACATGCAAAAACCTAATCATGTCCGCTTCCTATCTTATTATAAATATAGCAGTTCAGTATTAAAATATGACTACTTATCAAAGATGTTAAACTTATTGATAACTCCATTAATTTTATCATAACTATCGTAGGCAACATCTAAGTACTTTATCGCTATGGCATGTATTGCAAAATAAACTGCAAAAATAATACCTGCTCGTATAAATCGATTAATTTCTTGGCCGGTAGTTTTAATGGCTGAATTACTTTGAGCACCGTATCCCAATGCCCATTTTGTATATCATGCACAAACGAATCAATACTATCTACCGTATTTAATGTAATGTTTGTTTCCTCCTAAAAATAGAAAAATTTTCCACGATGAAAATGTATCTAGAAAAAAAAAAAAATGAACAAAAGATAAATCAAACATTCCATATCTTTCTTGATTTACATTGGATGAAACTAGATATTCTTCTCAAACCTCCTTCTACAATTGCCAAAAAAAAGATAGTTATCAATTAATGGATAAAGTTTAGAAAAAACTACATATATTTAAACGAGCAGCATACTTACTTTAATAATCAAACTTGGTTAATGTAAAACATATCAAAAAATAATTTTGTATTATAAAAAAATTTATCCGGCACAAAATTATCCTAAAATTTCATAAAAAATAAGACAAACCTGTAGAACTGCTAATGTACGCATTAAGTTATTTTCCTTTAAATATTGTTCCACAAGACGCACAACACTGAATTATAAAAATTTTAAGAACAGCGAATTATATTCGATTTTTCAAGATTATCCTCCAAAAAAAAAAAACAATAACTGTCAAACTTTTACGAAAAAGTATTCTATTTAAAGAAGAATGGTATTTGAGTATTAGCAGATGGCGATAGACATGGCACCTGTTCTATGGTCAATTAGAAAAAAAATGAACTCAAAAACATTAGTGAATAAAATGCATTACAAGCAACAAATAAACTCAGGATATGAAAAAATAACTTACTCTGAAGCTTCTATTTCAATTGATGTCATTGCTATCTGTAAATAAGTGAAATTCAGTCGTTTGGAGTAATTGATAAAAACATTTTTTTTCTGCAAATAATTCTTACCAAGCAACGCTTACTAAATCTTGAAAAACTTTACTTCATTTATGTGCAAACTTTAAGTTTAGGTCGAAAACTTATCAAGCCCAGAAAATATCCACTGATGTCAGGCTTCCTTATTATATAATTATCCGGAAAAAATCAAGAAGAAATAGTTTGGAATGTTAAATTGATCGGATTGAAAAACTCGACATTTCTTACTCTACCGATATACTCTCATAAAATTACGCATCTAAAGTTACCCCATTAAAGTGTAGTCTAAAGACTGATGACAAGAGATAACATTCATCCTTTTCATCTACAGTCGATCGAACGAACACACCAAACAATCAAATCACCATTTGCACTAAGTTTCAAATAAGTTCGTTTAACGATGTGCAAAACTTTACTACTAATAATAATGTGATAGCCGGAAGTCTTGTTTTGACAAAATATTTCTCATATCTCGGTTTCTTGACCGATTTTTAATTTCACTAGCAGTTATATATTGAAGTGAATAGTTTTATTTTCCAGCCAAAAGAAATCGAAGAAATCACGATGCAATGAAGACAATAAGTTAACAATCCTAAACAAGTAAAAGATACAACCAATGAAGAACCGATCCCATCATTTAGATTCAATTCAATATATAATCAGACATAATTCATTCTACAAAACTCTTGCATGCTTTAGAGTTTAAGAATTCTAATTTGTAAGAGAAAGACCAGGCGCTCGCATTTCCAAGTAGTAACATTTTAAAGGATATGAAAGTAAGGAAAGAAAAAATGCAGCGTTTGATAGATGAAATGAATATAAGATTGGGGATTATTCATATATTTGTTTTAAAAATTTCCTCTAGCATTCCTTACGAAGCACTTGGAAAAATTTATTTCTATTTCAAATAAAAATAAAATCAATTATACTAGCTGAACAAAACCAATAAATTATTTCTAACAAACAAGATTAAAATCTAAAATAATAATATAATTGACTGTCTCCTAATTCCCTTTTATAAAGGAGCACTTTCATTTTAAAACATTTTCATAATGTAATCAGTGTGCAATAAGGAATAATACACACATATAGCATATTAGTGATAGCGAACATTTATAACTGTAATACAATTTGAATTTGGAAAAATATACTAGAAAAAGGTAGAGCATTAAGAGCTTTTAAGAATCTTATCAAGTTACCAACCAACCAACCAAAACAAATGAAAAACCATAGTGACGAAAGCACAAAAATATAATTTTCAGGTGGACAAAGAAACGATTACGAATTTTCTTCCCAAATGTGAAAAGTAATGCAACTATACAAATTAAGGCGACTGCGAAGACCGAGGTTCATTGGAAAACATGTGAGGATTTTTAAAAAGATGTCACATTTAATTGTACTTATATCAGTGAAAAGATGGATACTTGTCAATGTTTGTTTCAACATTAAAAAAAAAAAAACAGATTATAGTTCAGTATTTCTAATGCAACAGGAAATTTAGTATTCATACACGTAAATCCATTTCTTTCAAAATCAAGTTCGTATCATGCATTAGTCGGCCACAGTTATTACTGGGAATACGTTGTTGGCACTAAATAAAGGAAATTAAAATTAACATGAAATGACAGACTTTTATACACATTATATATACCTTTATTCTACCTATCTAAAGTTGTTCCTTTAGCAGAAAACCGATACTCTCTTTGCTGATGTTCCTGCACCAACAAATTAACAAGTCAACATACATTCAATTTTATTTACTTTTAATCTGCTTTTTGATAAATAAATTACATATTTCTTTTCCTTAAGTACTACAGCATTTGTCAATATGTGACATATCAGGAAATAGAAGCCAATGCCAATAATACAACTTTGAATTACGATATCAAAAATTATCAAAATCCCAAGTCGCGTTTTTATACTATTAAATCAATGATTACATACAATGAAGACCACGATTTTTTCCCTTATTACTCAACACGTCTTCATGACTGTTTTTCCGTTGAAAAAAAAATGTTTTTTGAAATAAGCCTAAAGTGGTAACCAACAAATCTTCTACCGGCTCATATGTTAATTATAACACTCATAATATTTGTTACTTCCCCATTTAATTACAAAAATAAGCCAAGTCAATTCAATAAGATACATCAGTTGGCTAATATCTACATTCCGAAACTATGGAAACTTCAAGTCATACCTTGTGGTGGTAAACCGAACTGATTATTTTCAGCCATCTGGAAGCCCGATTTAAATGTTGAGTTCTCTACGGAATAAGTACTCATATCTAACTGCTGCTGTTGTCCAAGCGGTGCCGCAAGTGATGTCGGTAAACCAAAAGATATTGTCGTTGGTGGAGGCGCTAGATGTGTAATACCCATAGCACTTAGTGGAGGCATTGGGAAATTCAAACCCGAATATTGTGAAGAACTTGTAAACGGAGATGCGGAAGATGTCGATATTTGTGGAGGCAATGGTGGATTTCCATATGATCCTTGCTGCTGCTGTTGACGCGGCAAATTTGAAAACATCTGAGGTACTATGCTCGCTACCATAGGTTGAGATGAAGACGAAGCTGCAAAAGAAAACATTTCATAGATTTCATAACCTGAAATTCATTAAACTGATTAGTTTGAACCCTTAAGTGCTGATGAAATCTTATACCTTATATTTTAATAAAACTAAAATTAAGAAAAACATGATACTTACGGTTATAAACAGGAGGTTGTGGTGGGTACTGTGGATCATGCATGTACTGTTGTTGCTGTCCTGAATAATAAGACTGCTGAGAAATGATAGCAGCCGATGTTCTATCATACTGCTGAAATAACACCTCAACTTTTTGAAAAAATTTTTAATAGAAAACTCTACAACATATTGAAGAGCTTTATAAAATGAAAACTTCAAGTTCAATCTTAATACTACATCTGACATATCTATCAAATCGACATTCAGCAACTTGCTTGCTAGTAAACATATAATTGTTATTTCTATACTTGGCTAGAGTCTAGAAAAACTTAGAAAATCAAGTAGAAGGGATGTAAAGACGGAAAACCTCTGCATCCACTGAATTTCCTATGAAATTTTGCTGTTGCTGCTGCACTTCTTGATTAGCATTTGTATAATTCGCGCTATTATTTTGAATAGAGTAGGCCTGTTCAGTTCCAGAAGATGCCGACAATTCAAGGGTTGGAAATGCAGTTGAAGAGGGTGATGTGATGCTCATTTTGGTATTACTAGTGGTTAATGGTTGTTCCTGCAACTAGTTCGATCAAAAATAAATAACGAAAAATCGTAATATTTTTTTTTTTGAAACGCAAATAAAAATTTAACTTGTCGATACCGGTTTTCCGCTGAGTAATTAGCACGTTATCCTTTTTGCGTATCAAAAATCTTTTATAGCCCATACTTTCATCCTCTTGCCGGATGAAAATGTAAGAGAGATATTCCAGAAAACATCAAAAATAAAAGCATTTATTCAAATCAAAATTTCCTAATGCTCTAAACCTAACTATGATAGACTGCACAGGTGCTGAAAATCCTGCAGAACACACATCACTTGGATAAGAGCCACTTATTCCAGCCATACTTGCTGTTGTTGCGCCAATAGATACTGCTGGCTAAAAATATGGAATTACCAGAGAAATTAAATGCAGCAGAGAATTTTCAAAAAACAGTATTAGCTACACACTAAAAAATATAAAACAGAAAGTACGATATAATTCGGAAAAAATCTAACTTGTCTCAGGATTGATGGCATAAATGAACTTGGATCGGGGAATTTTGTAATAGCTTGTATAGAATCAATTTGCGGAATACCTGTGTTACCTGAAAACAACACTAAACGTCTGGGTAAATAACCAACTCCTTTTATTAATTTAATGTTATTGATCGGGCAAAATGGCCAATCATCATATCAAGCGCATAATTATTACAAAGTTCCAAATATTTTAGATCGAAATATATTATATTGAATTTATTTGCCAAAACGTGGCAAAGTTTGCTTGATAAATGATAATACCTATTCAAATCATTATATGTTGTTTCTCACATTTAATAACAATGTTTAATACAAATTTGAGAAAAATCTGTAATATTTTTGCATATATTATAAATAAATTTTTGACATTAGGAAATAAGAATTTCTTTGTCTATAGAAACTTTTCCGTTCAAAAACCTCGAAACTGTTCAAGTACCATAATATACCTGGTTGAGGAATATTGATAGTATTGTTGGTGGTAGCAGAAGGTCCGGAATGACACGAATTATCGGCATTCATGAACGGTGCTACATCCGATGAATTTGTTCCATTTAACTGCTGTTCAAGCATAGCAGCAATTTCCTCGCCTTTCAGGGGACCTCGTCGATCACCTGGTATGCGGTGCAAATAGCCATAACCAATATCACATCCCAAACATCCTTCACCACCCCAAGCTGAGTTCGGCGTAAGCGAAACCTGAAAAGATCAGCTAAAGAATGTAGCCATTTTTATAGTCTCCTATGTGTTAAGACAGTCACTTTTTCGCAAATAAAAACGTCATACTATTAACCTTAATTTATTTAACCATATAAGATCCAGCTTGCAGTTATATCCCCTCCAAACGAAAAAATAAAACACACCTCTCGTACAGAATCAGTTTCTGTATTATAAACGTATAATTTGATAGGTTTGCCCTCGTTAGCTTGTAAGTGGGCAATAAGATCATCAGCCTAAATAAAATACCAGATTTAACAATCTCACATAATATATTCGAAAAACAGCCACTTAAAAGATGAAAACGCTCAGCCATTCACCGTTTAATCTTTGTCTAAATAAAGCATTACATGATTAATTTATGTATTAACTGCCATTTCTTTCTTTTTTTTTTTTTTTTTTCAAATAGATCAAAAAATTCTAAACAGCATATATCAGTGATCGGGGAGAAATTCAAATCTCACCTATGTCATCTCTTCTTTCCTATTATTATTTCCCTTTCCTTTTTTTTATTTCATTTCTCCAAAATAAAGTTTAGAATCGATAAATAAAGACCCAAATCAAGAACTCCTGCAGGTACTTATTTTCATCAAATCACAGTCATCTACAACTAAGACTTCTTTTATTTCTACGAATCAATTTTAAATATGGCTTTAACAAACCTGGTTTAGAACAGATTCTGCTCCAAGTATATAATCCAAATTAGATTGTAAACCAGCAATTTCTGCTGGTGAATTGGGCTGAACTTGCACAACATGCCAAACATTTTCACGCGCCCCTTCAAATGAGCAGAATCGGATTGAAATACCAAGCAATCCCTGACCACCCCACATTTGTGATGGTATAATTTGTGTCTGCCGAACTGTTTGAGTTTTGCTAGAAATATAAAGAAATATACAGTATTTACAAGAAACAAATTTACAAAATGAAAGAGGTTTAACCAAGAGAGAAGTAGCAATGTTACACAAGCGTTGGCATCTTTGTAAAAACAATTGATATGACAACAGACATCTAATCATGTATACGTTACAGAATCAAATGGAAAACTTGGATCAAATGTCCTTAGATATTTAGAGGAAGCATAAACAGCTTACCTGTTATAAACAGTAAGTTCTAACGATCGTTCCACATGCTGCTTTAAGATATCTTTTAAAGTATCGTTATCTGAATTCTGTAATAAAAGCCAAATTATTCAAATTATACAAATTATTAATCGAAGCCAAATTATTTTTTTCATCTAGCTCTGTGACCTCAGAAAAAAAAAAAAAAAAAAACAACTGTAGGAGCTTAAATATTAAATTGAAAAATTCTACGACATAAGCATCCTCAATAACTATAATACGCATTTATTTAGTTTCTTCCATTACCGAACATTCAGTTAGTAAAAATCCTAATATCATCAATCCACTTTTGACATATACATAGGTAAATAAATCTAAAAAAAAAAAATAAAAAAAAATAAAATCTTCTTTGAATGTACTTATTTTTTCAGGAAACTTATATAGAGCTATGCAATGGAATAATTTGACAATTACAATCTTGCAGTATTAGCTCTTAGTCGTTTTTCATGAAATGTTACGTTACAGTACAGTAGCAACAGGAAAATGGAAGTGAAATCATTAATTACCAGCCGTGTATTCCCAATGCAAACGATAAAATCGAAAAATGGCTCCAGTCCAGCAGCTTGTCCAGGTGAATTTTCTTGTACCTAAATATTTTTAATATACAATTTATATTACAAACTACGTTTTCGGTAATTATTGACTTGTTCACTAAAAAGCCACTGAAAACAAGAAAAAGAAGAGGAATCATAAGAAGTTGATAAGGCGGAATAAGGCAATAATTTAACAAGTAATCTTTACTACCACCAGAAAACTGTAGTTAGAAAGCGCAAACTTGCCCAGCATATTGCCATGACATTATCATTAGAAAACTATAAAGGTATCAATTCGTAGTATCATCACCTTAGACATAACGGAGCATGTATTTCTAGCATAAAAATGAGATCTGGTCTCATATTAATTTTTATTCCATTATGTATATGTGTCTGACTAGCTAGTAATCGTAACTGTGGTGCTTATACTATTTTTAGAGAAATACGATTGTTTCCTTGCCGTTTACAAAAACATTATGAATTATGATTACTGCGATCAAAGCAGTTTCCTCATGATAAGGACAGAATCTTCTTCTTCAAGAACAATAAAAGTTACTTTCCCAGCAAGCATAAATCTTAATGACATATGGATTCATTTCTTTCTCTCTTGTTTTCTTTCATGTTCACTATAATATCCATGATTCAAGAAACGGACACTTTTTAAGTGCAGCATTTTGAGCTCAGCTAGACTTATAGATTTTGCTAAGATGACACGGTAATCAATGAGACAGTAACCGACTGTGGTACACTGTACCAACCCATAATTTATACTATCTGATAAACAAATGATTTTTGAAAAGCGAAATTTAAACTAACTCTCAATACGTGATAACCTTCGGTACCACCACCAGGAATATTTGTACTACCAGAATTTCCCATTGAAATTGCTGTAACAGTCAATTAATTATTCTCTTTACAAGGATTATCATTTGCATATATACACAAGACAGCATAAACATAGTTTTCCTTCTTTTCAAATTCCACAAAGAAGTAATTGAACTAGAAATTCCTCCCCGGCACTACAGCCATTCTCGTTAACAGGATTTGCGTTAACAGAATTCTGAGAGACTTCTTGACTATTTTTAAACTATATAGAAAATAGAAGAATAATTGATTTGGGGTTTTACCATTGATCTTATATTTCAGTTCATGTGCTAACTTGGAACGAGACCTTAACACAGACCTTCAGGTCTGACCCATACCCCAGAACATAACATTCCTAACTATCTGAAGAACACTTTACACACCATATTCCAATTTGTCCTGATATTGTGCTGTTAAGACCAGCGGTTTCGGCAATCTGCCAAAAGTATCAGGCTTTCTGGGGTTAGGTGTTGTTTGGTAGTGTTTTCCGGAATTCCGGAAACAGAATTTTTGGTATTTTGGGTTAGATAGCCAATATATGTATCTTTTTCTCTTCTTTCTTCATCAAAAAAATATGGTAGCTTCAACTGGAACCATTCCATTTCTATCTCAGACGCGGTACAAACTTTTTGTTTTCGTCATCATCCGGAAAATGCCTTGAATCCACGTGACTACAAGTTTTGTCTTGGCATGCACTGTCTTGGTATCCTTAGTGATGTTAAAACTGAGATAGAAATATTACTAGTAAAAAGAAAAAATTGAAGCTTTATGAGGATGCACACTGTAGATTCTTGCAACGACATCATGACAAAACTTTTACTTTAGGATGATGACTTTTAGTATGTACTATGGTGCACGACTGTCATTTCCCAAGTTTATATCACCGATATTATGAAAGTTTTTAAGGCTTTGCATTCTGGCATGATGACGTTTTGGAAATATTATTTTAATTTGTCATTTATCAAATTTGGCGCTAATATGATGCAGTGTTACATATCAAGATTCGTATAGGTTGCGAAAAGAGCACATTTAACTTTAAAATTAATTACGACTTTAGGATGGAATTACTTCAAACTTATCCAGCCAGTAGTGATGGTGCTTCATCAGACACGGATGATGATGGCGAATTGGCACATTGTAAACTAATAACTTTAAAAAATTGCCGATCTGTTGCTCTTGCTAGTGAACTTGCACCAGTTGTTGGTACAAAAATGGATGTTGGTGGTACACGCTGTATCGATCCACAAACCAAAGAGCTTAGTTATAATCCGAAATATGAAGAACTTTTCCAACCTATGGTATGTTATCGATTTCAGATTTATTAAAAGTCAAAATTAATTTTTTGTTGAAAATTCGGTTCAGTAAATGAATAAAAGTAATTCAAGTTTTGAAGTGAAATAAATTTAGTATTACCATCTGTATTAGTAAAGTAACGAACTTTCTCAGCATTTAACTTTTTTTTTTTTTGAATTGAGAGAGAAAAAGAGAAGAAAAAGAACTGGTTTATTGTCGAAAATTCATATCGAGATTTTTGAATTTTTTTGCTGAATAAATAGTTTATTAAAAAAATAACAGTAGGATATTAATGTATATGTATTGACTCATAGCATTTATAATCAATAATGAAATGATTATCGATTATTCTTCATTAATCTCAAAAACCTTGGTGGAAGCAACTTTTAAATCCAACTTTAAAGGACCGTAACATACTACAGGCTACCTGATTACGGGTCAAATTATTCATGCTTCTTGCTTTTCTGCTTTCTTTAGTTTGTGTTTTTAGGCTGGACCTTCAAATCCTTTCAAATCAGCCAATCAGACTGCGCCAAAAAATATGTTAACTGGTTTTGTGGAATCAGCTCATGTGAACAATTTTCAATTTGAACAGCAGATCAGATCTTTCGACACATTAGGATTTGCTCGTGATCCATCTGCTAGTCAATCTGATCAGTTTGTCGGAGATGCAAAAAAGGTATTGCAAAACAACCAAAAATTGATGATAAAAATAAAGAGTGTTGTACAGAATTTTGGTGATTTTTTTGTTCGTTTCTCACTTTCTTTTCCATTCATTAAATTTATTAGTTCTCTATTTTAGGCTCAGGAACTACAAGGTGCAGGTCTTTTTGAAGGACAAAAAACAGGTGGAGAAAAACGTAGGAGGAAACGAAATATGGACCCCAGTGATGTTGAAGGATATACTGGTATTACGCTATAAAATTTTTGTGAATTGTCTATCATTTGAAATCGTTTTGTTTTTAATCAAATAAAATGATTTATTTTTGTTTTAAGTGTTTAAAATTTTTCTTTGTACATCGAAAAAAAAATTCTAGGACCATGGGCAAGATTTGAGGACGAAGTGGAAGTATCAAGGCCTGATTCGGAATTAGCGAAGGAGTTGGAAGAAATCGTGAGGAAACGTCAAAAAAATAGTCGTGCTGGTCGTAAAGCAGCACAGCAGCAAGAATTTATTGCGGATGAATCTTCTACATTACATTGTATGATTTTCTTTCAGTGTGAAAATTGCGTTTGGAAAGTTGTTCTACATTTAAAAAAAACATCTTCATAGGTTTGGTCTCGTTTTGCAAAAATAGTAACTTATCTTTGTTATTCTGCATTGTCCCTATAATTTGATTAGTCATTTATATTTGCGAAGTCATTTATTTCAGTGAAAGAAGCAGAAGATTATCTGGGACGTTCATTTATACATGCTCCACAGTATATTGGTGTAAATTTGCGTGAGGATCATGTACCAGAACGTTGCTTTATACCCAAAAAACACATCCACACTTATCGTGGGCATAACAAAGGCATCAATTGTCTACGATGGTTCCCGAAGAGTGCGCATTTGTTCCTCAGTGCTGCTATGGATAGCAAGGTTTGATAAAAAATAACATTAATGTTTACTTTCCTTTTAGCTTTTTAGTTGTTTTTTTAGTCTTTCCATTTTTTTTTTTCTTTGGACATGTGTACTAACTATATGTATTTCAATCATATTGCATTTCACTAGTTTCTGATCTTGATATCTTAAATTTACATTGTCCACTACAGAAGCTATGATTTTTTTTTTTTTTTAATATGACGAAAACGTTAAAAGAAACATTAGAATGAGAAAAGATTTGGAAGTTCTTACTGCAGATCAAATTATGGGAAGTCTATGGAAAGCGGAGTGTAGTAAGGACATATGCAGGACACAAAATGTCAGTTAAAGATGTCACCTTTAACAGTGATGGCACCGAATTCCTTTCAGCATCTTTCGATAGATATATAAAATTATGGGATACTGAAACAGGTTGTTTTCTTCATTACTGTTCAGATTTATTTGCAAAGATTTATTCAGTTTAGAAATTTTGGTGGTATCTAAGTTTTTTTCTTAATGTTGATGTTTTAGATTTTGGTGTTACTTTCTGTAGTAGACTTTTGAATTTTCAATTGTACAATTGATGTTTCGATGCTGCAGGCCAAGTTAAACAACGATTCCACACTGGTCATATACCATTTTGTGTAAAATTCAATCCAGATGAAGATAAGCAAAATATGTTTTTATCAGGCATGCAAAATAAAAAAATCCTGCAGTGGGATACTCGGACAGGTGAAATTGTTCAGGTAAATTGGTTTTCCATACTGATTTCCTTCCTGTAGTTTAGTTAGATATAAATCATGCATTTTTTGAATTATAAATTTAAATATCAAATCTCGTTGTATTTTAGGAATATGATCGTCACTTAGGCGTTGTCAATTCTATTACATTTTTTGATAAAAATCGAAGATTTTGCTCAACTTCTGATGATAAATCAATTCGAATATGGGAATGGTTAGTGTGCTGTTTAAAACCATAATCAGACTAATTGTTTGTACCGATGCTTTTCAGAGCTTCTGATAAGTAGAAGTCCCTCACATTTCATTCAAAATGTATATAATGTTCTATCACCTTTCCGTGAATCAAAAGGAAAAAAACTTATCGCTGTACAAATTAAATTGGAATTTCTTTCCATTCGTTCTTTCACTAATGTACTAAATTGATAAGTCATAATTCACAGTATCACACATTGGTACAATTAAACTTTACTTATCTCTTTAGGGAAATCCCTGTCGATACAAAACTTATTCAGAACGCTGGTTTACACTCGATACCAACGATGACGAAGTCCCCAACAGGTTAACAAATTTTCCGAAAATTTAGATTTTTCATACTTAACAATGATGCTGCTTCTTAAAGGAAAATATCTATTGATTTAAAATAATCGTTTAAACTCATTTCAGAAAAGTGGATAGTTGGTCAATCAATGGATAATCGTATCGTATTATTCCAACTAATTGACGATAAATTACGGTTTGCCAAGAAGAAAGCATTCAAGGGACATAATGTTGCTGGTTACGCTTGTTCAGTGGATTTCGCACCAGATATGAGGTTTTTAAAATTCAGTACTTAATTGTTTTTGCCATATATCGAGTTTGGAATAATATAATCAAAATATAGTCCGGAATGAAGTACTTGTTTTGAAAATGCAAAGTTTTTTATTGAAATTTAGAAAATTTTTTGTGATTTTTCAATGTCCTTACTGAATCACAAATGACGTTCTTATTTGTTTACTTTTACTTAATTTCGTTTCTGATTTCAACTTGTCTTTGAATTCTGAAATCTTGATTACAAATTTTGAATTCTTGAAGCTAACATTGAGCTTATTAGCCTTTTGTCCTTTTCAAAAAATAAGTTCTCCAACTTTTATTATATAGAGTTTGATAGTAACCTTGGGAAGCTGCATACTTTTTTTTTATGCACAAACTTCACAACTTTGAAAGTTTAGACGTTTTCATTAGAGTAAGTCAATGAAAAAACTCAATGACATGACAAGTATCGTTTTCAGCTTCCTAACATCGGGTGACGCGGATGGCAAGGTATTCATTTGGGATTGGCGAAATCATAAAATAGTAGCGCGATGGAAAGCACACGATGACTGTGTTATTGCAACATTGTGGCATCCGCACGAAACTTCCAGAATGATAACCGGAAGCTGGGATAGTGTGATCAAAATGTGGTCCTAAATAGACTGTTGTGTTGTGTGATCCAAAAGTTTTTGAGACTGCACGCAATTTTGGAATTTCATGGTATTGCTTATAGGGAATTTTAATTTCATTAATTAATTTCCAGTGGAACTAGAAAACTCTAACTCTAAAGTGTGATTCAGAAGCATCTATTTTTATACATTTAACATTCATTTTTTCAATTATCCATTTCTCATACTAATCGTTTGTTGTACTTTCGTCACTTTGATTTACTACAGTTGTTGATGGGATTTGAAATATTTTAACTTAAATGTTCATTATATTAAAAAGACAAATTTATTGTATCATTATGATTTTATTCTTTCCCCATAACATACATTTTGTTCTTCATGTCATGTTTCTTCAATTATTCTCTTTTCTGTTTATGTTTATGTGAATGAAATTTTAGAAGATGAATTCTTTAGTTCGAACAAAGTAGTATTAATTAGTCCTATGTATATGTACATATACGTCAGAAACAGTTCAGTACCTCAAGTTTCATTTTAAATATGAAATGAAATCAATTGTTGATTCGAACAAATATGGCCAAGAGAAATCAAATTTCATCATCTGATCACAAAGATTTGATTTCATTATGGTCTTTACTACAGTTTCTGAATGGAAGTTCTTCAGTAACTGCCCTGCTAAGTTTGTTGACATTGCTGCAATCCTCACTGCATATTTTTTGCAGCTCTGTTGACTGCTTACTTTTTCAGATGCATTATTGAGATTACTCTATGTGAGGTGCGAAACAGATTAAAGACCGTGGAATTCAATATTTGTAATACTTTTATGCATAATCGAGGCAATCTGACACTTAGTACTGTTCGTTGAGCAATGTGTGATAACAATTTTCAGATGCGCTGCATTCGTATATTAAATCCTTCAAGTGCTGGATCCATTTATAACACACGTCACGGTTATCGAATCAGGTTTTTGCGTGATTTCAACAAGCAAGAGGAACCCAAACTTAGGACAATTCCAACAAAATGGAAGGGTCGCGTGCAGTGGTGGAAAGAACCGTATGTGATTTGAAAGTTTTAGCATTTTTGTCACTGTCACTTTATTATCACTCGAATTTATTGTCACTATCTAATTGTGCCACGAGTAATTAATATGTGTGTGCGTTTGTATTGCTTTGTTATTTAATGCTCACGTTCATTTACTATAAGTAATCTTTTCAGTATTTATATAGCGCCACACGTGAATGTCCTACAGAAGGGAGTCGATTTTACCTTCCAAGGTTACTGGCTTTTCGTAAAAGATTCATTTATCAGCGATGCATCTAGATGTATTAGCATGAAGCTTGTGCGTACTTGTGCAAACGGATGTTTTGTTTTCTTTCTTTTTCGAAATTGGAAGTTCTGGAGTTTTAAATCTGAATTTAGAAAGGAATGAGTAAGCATAAGATTCGTAATCATATTTTAGACGGTCGACCAGTCTATGTAACATCTCTGGAAGAATTGAAAAGGAAAAAGGAACAAGTCGAGTTAGGAGTAAGTGCGCCATCTTTTGTTTACCATGAATCTAATTTTTTGGCTTCCTTAATGTAACTTCCAGAATCTTCCAGAAACGAATTGTCAAACTTCTTGGTGAAGTGCATGAGGCCGAAGAAATGTACAAGCAACAATTGGAAGCCGAAAAACAGGAAAATGAAAGAAGGCTTGCAATGGCACCACTGCCAAAAGGTACACTAGAAATATCGTAACAGTCGAATGTGTCATGAACTTTTGTGCGGAACGTGTCAATTACGTGGAATGCGCTTGCTTCGCAATGGTGTTTATTTAAAAGCATATATTCAACACATGAATTTAATCACTTCTATTCATGGGTTGGAAAAAAATTTTATTCCAAATTTTTGACTGATTAGATTTTGATTAGGTCTGTACATAAATGCATGCATATACAACTGAACAATACTTTCTCTTCCATGTTTTTATGAATTCATATATCAGTATTGGTGTTTATGTTTCATCGAAATGACACATTTGTCGATATCTCTCAGCAAATGGATTTATTTTTCTTGCACAAGTAATGTGACTGCTGACGGCAAATTCGAGTATTGCTCTGAAAGAAGGAAAATTATACTTTTTTTTGCATTAAATTCAAAATTATCGCTGTATTTTACTTCATTACACTAAAGAAGGAAATATTATATATTATTTCTTCTTTTAAAATAGAAGAGTGCAGAAAAACATTCCATTCATAAGTGTTAATTTGACGACACGCCAGGAATGGAGGTTATTATTCACACATTACAAACTGATAGTGACTTGAGACGACTAGTTAGTGGAAATGAAAAGAAAAATCTTGACATTATTTCTTAGGCCTAGATGACACTTAATTAAATAGATAGGAGGATGAAATATATATTTGGACAACAGTTTCACTATTGTAGCTTTCATTTAAAAGGATTTTAAAAAAAAAAGTAAAAGAGTTTTATAAAATGTAAATGGTTGAGTTGTAGAAGTGTTTTGTGTTTTGCCCTTCCATTTATAAGATTGCCGATTTATTAGTATAGGATATTTATGATATGATTTGAATAAAATTGGAACAGAAAAAACTATATGGTAATGGCAAATTTGTAATGAATCGGAAAGAGCCGATTGTTCAGTGAGCATTAATCCTGAAGATGCAAACCTGAAAATATACAAATACTGTTCCTTTGTTTGCACCGATTGAGCTCGTTTTTGACGTATATAAGTAACCATGTCTGATACCACTAATTCATTGCCAGCTACTAGTTGCATTAAGCAAAGTTCAATTGCAACCAAAGTACCACTACGACCAATACCAGCACTACAATGTACCACGGTGCACGTTGGTGAAATGCGCGATTTTTTCAACAAATAAAACGGTGTGTTATAATCATTTACTGGTACCTGAAATTGTTAGCTTATACAAGGTACTCGTAATACCTCTAATAAAAATTTCTGGAATTTCTCAACCTGCTTATCAGCCCATGATATCCATTGATAATGCATCACGGTAAGATTTACATTTCCTCGACTAAGCAATAACTGTGTTATAATAATATTGCCATCTTTTGATCTGTTACGTTCCCGTAATTCAATCCGTATTCCGGCATGCATAATTATGGGAGTTTGAAATCTAAATTATGAAGAAATTATTTTCGCTGAAAAGTTTGGTAACATGTTTGAATGTTCAGAAGTCGAAGTCGGTTTTATTATGCAAAATAAATTCATTCAAAAAAAAACTGCGAGAGTGATTAATAAAAGTTGATGTTGGTTATCCGAATTAGTTTGATTTAGTTATTTTCTAGAACTTCATTAAAGTTGAGCATCTGATTTTTGTAAAATTGACCATTCGATTTCTAATTTAAAGTAAGCTTAAACCGCAGAATAATGATTTAGTAACTAACGTTGGCAAATATTCAGCACACTTCACCTTGTGCTCTTCAATATATTTACAAAGCATAAATATAAGTCCGGATCGTTCTTGCCAAACCATTTCCCAGAAATCGTTTACTGTATTCGGTAGCGGACCCTGTTGTATTAAAAGAATATTCAGTTTGAATTACTCTCAATAATTTCCGATTGCAATTTAATTTAATAAATAGTAAAAAATTAGAAGTTGGTATGATTAAAGTAAAAATGAGTATGGGAACTGAATAATAACATGCTCATTAAAACTTCAAAAATTAAAACAGAGAGAAATCTAAAGCATCGATCAATTAAAGTTTTCTCTCCATTTGAATTTGTTAGAGGAACAAAATGACAATTACTTGCGTAAGAATAAAGTCATTTTGAAGGACTTTATGGCGAACATAATTAGCATGTATATAATCTCCAGCCCCTCGATATAAAATAACTCTGGAACTATCCAAGCAATATACATCTAAAAAATCATTAATTCATTTTAATAAGCAAAAATATAATGTTACATTTTAAAAGTTCCAAATTTACAACTTCAAATAAAACAAGAGTAATAGTTGCAACCCATGAAGGTAACGTTACATACAATATTACAGAAAAACTTTCGTATACATAGCAATAAGTTTAAACAAAGGTCAAAGGTTAAAGTGATGATGAAAAGAAAGCAAGAAATCACCACTGTAACGATTTTTGTGATGATTTACGGGAAGCATTCCAATAAATGCTTTAGCTTTGGATGGTTTTATCGATTGGATACGTTCGTACTGTGCAATAAGTGTTTCCATGGAGGTTCGATTACACTGCAAACTAATTATTAACTAATTAATTTTACTAATTAATTATCACTCAATCAATCACATTTGTTTCATCTATTACTTATTTTATTTACATAAATCAATTTTTTGATTTCTTAGTAACTGAACAAACAAATAATGGAATATTTCATCTATTCAATATAAACAAAGTAAATGTCATCATTTTTCTATCAAAAAAAAAAGCATAATAGCACATTCATTAATTTATAAAAAAAAAAAAAAAAAAAAAAAGGTTAATTTATTATTTCTAATTTAATTTAGAAATTATAGAATGAAGGAATTTTCGTCACATAGTTGACAAATTCTTTCACACGTTTTTGCATGTGTGTTTCATAGAATCGTACTTCTCCTTCCGTATTACTTATTTGAGATGCTTGAGAATCTTCTTGAGTTAGATGCACATTGACCGATGGTCTCTCACCTTTGGTTATCTACAGGTAAATGAATTAGTATCAAAGTTTCTAAAAGTTTCATGAATTATTTCTAAAAATGATATGACGCTATAATATTTTATATCGCTGATTTTAAAATTATAAAAATTTAGCATAAGAAAATGAGAAACAAATATTTCAAATGGAAATATAAAAAGTTTATTTATAACTGTAATAGAAATATGTAAAATCATATTTTGTAATTTTATAATTTGACTAAAAAATTAAAAATACTTGGCGTGATGTGCTTGTTTGTGTTCGATTTATAATATATGATGTTGGCATACTAATGTCCTCCCCACTTTTGCTAACTGTTTTGTCTAAAAATTCATGAAATTATTATTTTTTTTAAATGAAAAAAGGAAGCAAACACAAATTTTTCATTAGTAACTTGAAATATATAGGTAATGCTTTTTAAGGAATATGCTAAATAGCTGAATAATTTTAGATGAAACAATTCTTAATCAAATCTTTTTAATTTCTTTACTGTGATTATCTGATTTACTAATCAATAATGAATGCTATTGATTGAAGACATTGGTAAAAATTCTTGAATAATTCCTAAAATAACTTCATTCTATGATCGATTTGATTGCTTGATTATCTAAAAAAAAAATGAAAGTTATAAATGTACTTTGAATTAAATGATTTTTTGACTCCGTTTGATGTCTTCGTGCTTTTATCGTTTCTATAATAATCTTTAATATATTTTTAACAAATATGAAAGTCAAATTAATCAAAAGTCATTACATCAAACTTCTTAACAATTAAAATTGAAGCTTCCTCATAATATTTATTCCTCACATCTTATTTTACTTTATTTTTCAAATTAGTTTCAATTTAATTTATTCGTTCAAAAAATATTTTTTGTATTTAAAAAAATCTTGCAATATTAGTTATATATATATGAATGATATTAGTTTGCATCTTACTGATTTTCCTCTTTGAACCACTACTGCTGCAAAAATTAATAAATTTAAATATGTCTTTTCTCTGAATAATCAATTTTATAAGTGTAATTACCGATCAGACATTTTAAAGGTTAATAAATTTAATTAAATTACTACTTTAAAAAAAACACCTTATATTATCAATATTAGTTTAAAAATAATTTTGAAAAAGAATTTTTCTTAATAAATAACTAAAAATTTATCAAAATTAGCTAACCTTGTTGATGGACTATCTACTGTTTCCGTTTCATCACGTCCCTAAATAAACAAACATATCGTTTATTATTAATTAACAAACAAAAAGAAATTAAGGTAAAGCCATATAATAAGTTTGTAAAATTATTTAAATAACAATTAGTGTAATGTTTTTGTTCTTCACGCTTAAAAAAATGCTTTCATGTGAAAAATTAGTGTAGAAAATTATTTTTTATTTAAATTATTTTTTTTTTTTATTTAAACTAACAAAATTTTCAAGCTAATACTACTTTCATCGAAAATATTTTCAAGTGTAAATTAAATTACAGTAACAGTGGAAAAACTTGTTGCTTCAGAAACAGATCGTTCAAAGGCCAATGTGGATTGTCGTTGATCTGGATAAGAATTTGCTGTTCGATGCTTTACTTTAATGAAATGTTGTCCTCTGTAATTTTAATTACGTGAAATAAAACTGCTAACATTTTAATAATAATAATAATAATAAATAAATAATTTTGCTTTAACTAATAAATATTTGCTTTAAAATAATGACAAAAAAGTTATCAGAAAGTACGTGAAATATTTTTGTTTTCAAAATGTAAGAAGAAATGAGCGAATTTTAGTTTAAGAAAAAAAAAAGCAAAATGTGACGCAAAATGCGTGTAATATAATTTTACGTAAAGAAATTAACTCATTTTAAATAACGCATATGAAATATTCGATATAATAATATGGATAGCACAGGTAGAAAAATAGGAAGAAAGATATGATTAGAAAAAGTTTTAAAACTTAACAATGATTTATTTTTGAATGATAAAATACCTGGAATGATTGCTGCGACCAGGTAAACGCACTAAATGTGATCGTTCATCATTCTGCTGAAAATCAGAAATGTTTACTTATCTTTATGAATTCCATAGAGATTTTTAATATCTAAATTATTTAACAAAGTAACGCTGCTACACATCAATTGTCGGAAAAGATGCAAGTAAAGTTGATACAAGAATTTCATAAATCTTACAGATGAATTAAGTTAACTTTATTTATTACTAACTTTATTTATCTTTTTTTGATAATTTTTACGCTTCACTTTTTCAGCATTTTGATAAACGTCATAGTTTTTTCCCGACGTTTCCTCCTGAAATTTATTCCATTGTTACACAGTAAAACTAACGTAAAGTACGTGCGTTGAAATTATCGTTGCTATGTAAAAATTTTATAAAAAAAAATAATGAAACATTTCCAGAATATAAATTCTAATTTAATTATGTTTACTTTTAATTTTTCTACTAATCAATTTTTATATTTTATATCTTTTATTTTGTAGACTTATTAATTTATTTGCATTTTGCACTTTCTATTTCAGTTTATGCATGCATGCAAAACCATTCATTTAATTCAGTTAATTAATTAGTGCACTTCTACCTGCTTTATTAATCACACAGGTGAATTTACACCAAAAAGAAAAAGACGTTTTTAGAATTTTAACAAATGTCAACAAAAAATCTTTCTCTTTTCATGAAGATTTCGTTATTTTCAAACAATGTTCATTAACTTTATGTTCAAAACAAATTCTATTAACTTCTTTTATTGATGACTTTAACAAATAAGCTTAAATTGATTCGAATTTTGTTAATTACAGATTGATTAATGCTTAATGAAAAATGTTCCCGCAATTATTAGTGAAATGAATTTCAAATTTTTTTTTTCCAATTTTTGGATTTCAAATTGATAAACTCACTGAACTTCTCCGACTCATCAATCCTTTCAACAACCAATCGTTCAGCGGCAATGATAAGAGTGAAAATGAAGTAAGTGTCAACTTTTACTTTCTTATCAAAGTAATCATACATAAATGCAAATTTATAGAAATGAAAAAATATTTTGTAAAATTCATTTGAAATTAAATTGTAAATTGCTAAATTATTTTTTTTTTCAATTCACTCTTTTTCTCATCTTTTTTCATTCTTTCATATGCTAAATAAAAGATCAAAATTGTTAATTTATCTAACAAATGAAGTTCAATTTTACTTTACTAACACTTACAAACCATTTAATATTATTTATTGTTATTTATATTAATCAAAGGATAAATAAGATATTATATCTTTAAATCTTTGAAAAAAAAAAAAAGAAAAAGAAAAAAGGAAAATTATATTTCTGTTATGTATCACTTACGTGGGAATAAGTGGCAAACATTTTGGTTCTTTTGTATGTCTGTGCATTTTCACCAATAATTTCTCCGTCACTTATTTTGTTGACTAAACTATATTCGTCCATTATTTCTCTACTATACATCTATGTATATGATAGGTATAGGTATAGATAAGTATAGGTAAGATATAGATATAAGTATAATAATATATTTAGACAGTGAGATTGTCTACAATCTACAATCGTTCTTATCCATTTGAGCAAGTTTATCGATGTGTTAAGAGGTGTTAGTTATACTTTTGCTCTTTATGATGCCTAAATGAATAAATGTAATGACGTTATAGTATTTATTATATCTTTTAATAATTTATTCGAATATATTTGTTAGTAATTTATTTTTTAATCAAATTAAATCTAATTCTTTCCAAATATATTAAATGTTTTTGGAAAAAAGAGGAAAAAAAAATTGTTAGAAAAAGCTGAAGTAATGATAGTTAAATTTGATAGATTTGATTTTTCTTTTCTTGAATAATCTCATGTCGAAATAAATTGATTAATAAGTAGTACTGTTGAAATTTTATCAGAATAGGCTAATAATACCTTTCAGTTTGGCCTAATATCTTAAGCTTATTAGACCATTATTCTGTAATTGTTTTAAGACTCATTTTCAGGCTGTATAAATGATATGCATGTAGTCCGGAAATAAAAATGGAATTGATGTATAGATTAATGTAATCAGTTTTATCTATGGAATATGACCCAAATTTTTATTCTATTTTATTATACTTAAAAAGTATTGAAACACTTTTTCTTTATTTTTTCTTTGTTGATGGTCTTGAGTTAGGAGAAAGATGATGATGAGAATGTTGAAATTATTTAGTATTAATTTAATTAAGTTAATTTAATTACTTTGACTTAACACTCTTATCAATCACTACTTTTACCTGTTATGCCTAACATACCTTCTCTGTCATTATTTTATTAATATTTTAAACAATCTTTTTCTTTATGCCAATTTTTCGTACTATAGTCGATTGAAATAGTGAAAGTGGCATTTGAATTCTTTGACATTTCAGCGGCAAACTAAACTTGGAATAAAACGATGGCTAATATTCGAATGAATACAGTAGGATAATGGGAAGACAAGGTGTGATACAGGTTATCAAGCAAGAAATTATGGTAAGATAAGGGATGTTGACAAAGGGAAGAATGAGAAGAGATATAAGACCAATAAAATGATAAATTCATTGCTTAGTTTTGTGAAACGAAAAAGTAAAATTATTGTTTCATAGCTTGAATTTGTAAAAATTGTACACAAAAATGAATTTTTTAACATTCATTTAATATTAATTGAACTAACTGTATTTTCACATTAATTAACCTGATTGTGGACTTTTTCATGAATGAGTTTATAAATGTATCATTTCGGAATTAAACAATGAATTAAAAAATGTTTCTTTTTAGGAAGAAATTAGTGGTTCTCATTGTTTCCAAGGGAATTCCGACAAAACTTTTCCAAAAAAAGAAGAAATGGATGCTGTATCATCTGCTGTTATTAGCACAACTGCAGTCAATTCTATCTCATCATCAACTCAACTATTATCATTTAAAGGTTTGTTTGTTAACTTTCTACAAGATAGTTATGAATCCAATATACTTAGAAAGAAATTACACTTTAGATTGTAGCTTACATCATAAGCAACCATTCGATGAATCGCTGCAGCTGCATGATGCAGCAAGAAAAGCTTTATTAGCCAGTTTTCGACAAACAAGCTCTAGTAATCTATTATTTCTTCCATAATTTTAATATTCACTCTTAACATCTTCAATAGCTTACGCGCTTTACGTGGTCGTACATAATCTGTGAAGATATTGTATGCATGAATGAGAGAGGCGCAATTTGCAATTGATAGTTAAACTTATGATAAAGATGACCTTATCTGATACGTAATATCTGATGATATCATTTAATATCTCATATATATAAGCTAATCCAAGACAGCAATTATTAGCATCCAATTGCATCGTTGTGCATCGCTTATTGTCTGCCAAAAAAGCTAATTTTGAAATTCAAAATTATTACAAACACCGCAACTCGCATTTGAATTTAAATTGACTATTTGAATGTTATAAAGTTTTTCTTCATTACTTATTTAGTAATACTTATTTTCATTGCTAACTCTTTGGAATGTTTCAAAATCACATGAAAATTATATTCTGTGCGTTAACATTAGTGATATATATATATATAAGATAACATAATTTTATAATAAATGACCAAACACTTATTAACTTAAATTTGATTTCTAAATAAGAAATTCAAATGATATGAGTTTTGATTTGAATGGAATTACTATTGAGGACAACCGGAGGAAAGTGTATTACGTCGCATGGATCCTGCTGATGATCTGCAGTTGATGTGTACCAAAAAATGTATCCCATGCCATCGTTGCGGTTCCTCAATGAAATTTTTCATGCGTCGCGTAAAGTACCTAAATACTGTAAAGGTAATAATGAATAATGCTTTTTCACGTGTGAAGAAAAACTGGAAAATGGCTTATCCAAAATTTGCTTAAATTCAAAAATTTTAGATAAGCAAGTAAAGGTCAGTAAATCAATTAAAAGTTTATATTTAGCTATAACATAAATACATATTTATATTCATATTTTTTTTCCTGTAAATCCGTTGACATAAAAATTATGAAATGGAAATTTTTATCGTATAGCGTTGCATAGATGTTCTGAGAATTTATTTCTAGGAATATCCAGCATATCGCTGTATGAAAAAGAAATGTCAAACATTCCGATCACCTCGTACGTTAGCACGTGAATGCAATATGCTATTACGTCAAGGTTTTGGCGATGGAAGATTCATGAGTGTGGCACCAACAACAAATGCCACCAGACAACTCAAAGTAATCCTAATTTCCTGAAATGGTAACATGTCCCATCCGGTTCGTTTCTCTTTCTTAACAAAATCTTATTACATCTTTTACAACCTATTACAGGAGGCATTTCCTGATCATTTCAATAAACAAGAAATGGATGGTTTACAAGGATTTCCTACCACTCTTAGGGATGATTTTGACGGTATGCTAATGTTTAGCTTACACTAATAAAGTTAATTGTCACTATCACAAATTATAGTTGGAATAATTGAAATTTTAATATACAGTAGAGATTTTGTTACTTAATAAAGTATTAGGTGATGACACAATGTCAAATAGAAGCGGTTGATAATATTGGCGTCAAAAACATCTGATAAATTTGTTAGCGAATCAAACTTTCTTTACTCGATCAACAAACTGCTATTTTCCTTAAATTGAACGAAATTTTCAACATTTTACATCGTTAAGTCTTATTGTCCACTACTGTGTCAAAGATAAAATCGCATGATTTTGTAATAGAATGAATAATGAAGTTGTAAAGGATTAATAATATTTAAGAAACAATGGATGATGATTTACGGTAACACTCGGGAAAATTATTAAGATAAAAAAAGAATAAACAAATGCTATTTGTTGTAGTCTTTTCAAATAATTCGACATTGTTAGCCAATTCTACTGCGAATAGTATTATCCGCGAGAAGGAAGCATGGTATGCTCTGAGAAATGCCAAACAATCGTTGGATATTTTGGCACAAACCGATGGAGGGCTTTCACTACGATTGCATCGTATTATTAGCGAAATTCACGCATTAGCCACGCAATTTAAAGAAATTCCGAAAAAAGAAAGTAAGCTAAGAGGTTTTTTCTTCAATTTGATCAATTTGTAAAATAAAAATTATCTAAATGCAGTCTAAACGAAAAAAAAAGACCAATTATTTTGTGCTTAATGAATTTCAGTTTTGTATGAAGTAAATTAAATTTACAAAGCTAACAGTAATGAATGTTTCAATTTCAAACTGTAATATTTCATATAGAATCCATCAATACAGCATTGGAGTGCAATAGTGGAATGGTAGGAACAGATGGAATGCATGAAATGGATGATGAAGGTTATGATTCAATGAGAAGATCAACAGCTAACGATCTGATGACATTAACAGTTGGTGGTGATTCACGATCATCATTTGATACCGAATTGAAATCTGAAACAAGCAGTGTTGATTCATGTATTATGATGAAGTAAATAATTTTTCTTTCTGATAAGGAATTAACATCCAATAACTAATTCTCAGAGAACAGCTGAACCGATGTTTTCCTGTCAAAAGTATTAATTTCACTTTCATTTTGTTCGTGTAAATAATACTTTCTAGATCTCTAATAGGCAGCAACTTTTATTTCATTTTATCTAATTAACTAAACTTTATCATTCAGATCGCTTAGTTTTAAATGAGTGTTAACCATTTATCAACGCCATTTTGGTTTCCCCAATTATGACAAAATTTCCAGAATCTTAATTTAAATAATGCGTTCAACTTTGCATTTATAGAATGCCTTCGTCAACATCAGCATTATCACCCAGTGTAATACCAGTACAGCCTTTACGCTGGATTAACATTTCACGTCACTCACCGTCATTTAGCGTGAAAATGGTGGACAGCAGTGGAAGCGGTAAAAAACATTGTTTTTCTTATGTCGATTCTTAAACTTTTTTTTTTCTTTTTTATCAATGCATTTAACTTATTTTATGAAAATTTTCATTTTTCAATTCTAATTTTTTAAAAAAGTAATTCATAAGTTTTATATTTAGCATCAAGACAAGCAGTTGATGAAAGGAAACATATAGTAACTGGGGAACAAGGCACTACCGTTTATGAATCATTTTTGGTATGATTTTTTTTAATTCCAAAATTTTACAAGAATTCCAGCAATAATTGCAGCAAGAAAAAATCAATAAACTAAACTGAATTAGTCTTTTCAATATTTTTTAAAAAAAAAATCACTTTTTTTAATTTTTCAATGTGGTATTAAGCGCATGGATTTCTCACTTTCGGACAGCAAATCCATATTTGAAAAATATCTAACGTAACTATAACATTGCTTATTTTCCGAAATTTATCAAATCGAATAATCAGAGATAATTTGAATGTTTCTAATAAACTCTATTTAGAGCTGTCCCAGTGCTAATGCCAATAGTTCACTCGAATCTACCACAGTTTCCAGAGTCAATACAACAGCATCTTCACCCTTATTACCAAATATTATGTATGATCAACCATCCACAAGTTACAACTATAGCACAGTAACTGCAAATTCGGTGTGCTATAAAATTCCATATCAATTTAAAATAATACAAATAATTACTTCAATGCAATGAAATGATTCTTTTAGCCAAAAAAAAAAAAAAAGAAATTTAAACCAATTGACAAAAAAAGGTTATAAATGTTATATAAATATCAAATTATAAGTATAAATATCAAACAATTATTACTAATTAACCTTTAAATATTCTATAATTAAAATATAGAAAAGAAATGATTTTATGAATAATACGTTAGATAATGAAGGAATTACCAGCGATTCTTATTAGTGTGATATGTAATTTGCAAAATTAAATTTTTGATAAGCTTTACTAAGTAATCTAGTTTATTAGATTGTGGAATCAAATTGTCAAGTAAGTACCAACGATAATAATGAAAGAACTCCAAAAAGTGAACCAATACCAATTTATATACGACCAAGTGAACTATGCTTCGATGATGTAACTGATGGTGGTGAAATATTGAATGAATTCTTCGTGCCATCATCAACAGCCAATTTCCAACCATCAAAATCAACAACGACAAATGATACTACTCTAACTACTCCGGTATTAACAAAGTTGTTTATTTTCAATTGATGGTAATTCTAGGGATGGAAAAAAAAAAATAAGGAAAAAATTAAATTGCTAATGGAGTTAAACAATAACATTATTTAAAAATTTAATGAGTTTTCATTAATGCTTTTAATCGATTGTTGTTAAAAAAATAATTTTAAAAAATATATCAAAGCGACGATAAATTTTTTTTTTTTCTAAAGATTGAGAAGGAAGAATATATCAATAAGTTTTAGATGAAGTTGGAACGAATATAATTAAAAATAATAGTAAAAAACAATTTGGAATAGAAACGAAATGAGAATAAGAATAGCAGGATTGATTGTAAAATATTATTAGTTTCAATTTCATATTTTAGATTTTTTCCTTATTTGTTTAGGTAATGTCAACAGGACAGAATACTACGATACCAATAGTAACATTTGCACAGCTTTGGAATTTTAATGAACAGTACGATCACAAAGAAACAAATCCTCTATCATCACAAGCAACATCTGCTACAATATGTAAGTATTTCCTTTGTTAATAATTTTAAATGTTCAGAAATTAAAGCCAAGAAGAATAACAAACTGCTTTAGAAGAACAAAAGGGTTATTTGGATGAAGAGCATAGCAGTAAATTCATATAGTTATATCACCTAATGAAGAGCATAGCAGTAAATTCATATAGTTATATCACCTGTTTATATGAATGTTAAACTATTAAAAAATATTTTGGAGATTAGAAAACAGAAAAAGTTTACTTTTTAAATTTCATTTTCAGGTCCATTGTAATGATGATGTAAGCTGTAAAAGCAAATCTATTGATGAACCACTAGTTTTTCCCTACGTTTAGATTTGTGATTTCCTCCATTGAGAAGTGAATTCTGTTTTCCTGTGCTAATATTTGTCGCACATCAATTCTGTTAAAAAGTTAAGTTCAACTAGTTAAATTTCTAATTTTTCTCTTTTCTTTTTTCTATCAATCATTTATTTAATTACTTCGGTTATCTTTCAGTTGCATTTAATAGCTGTGATCGTTTGCACACAAATATTATTTTTTGTAGTCTGATCATATCTTTGAAATTTGTAAATTTATGAAAAAAAGATAAGATACCTCATCATCCTTCATTTCCGGTCTTCATATACTACTATCACATTCCGGTTACTGCTCATTTTGTTCACTCGCATTTTATTTATAAAATACGGGTCATGGCGACAAAGTTGTCGTTTTGCTTGACGAATAGCTTGTTTGTTTTTTTTTTTCCTTCCAACTTCGAAATTCCTTATCTATTATTTAGTCCTATAGAATAAATACACTTTGCGGAACATCAGTACTATTTCAGTGGTACTTGGAATCAGTGGAACTAATATATGTCATTTTCTTATGATAATATGCTTTTTCTTCGCCTTCAAATGATTGATTATTCTTCAACCTTTTTTTTTTACATATAACGAATAGAAATGCACTGATAAGTTTAATTTGTTACATTGATTTCATGGATATTATGAAGAATTGAATGCTTACCTGAATTGTCCTCCGCTATATCTCAACCTTTTCCCTATCTTGTATTTGAAATGAAGTTTTATTGATCTCATTTTTTAGTTTCTATTTAAAGTTCTATTTAAAGATCTGTCAAATAAATCAGTAACATTCTCACAACTGTTTAACAAATATAGTGCTACTACTGCCAGTGTGACTCATGGAAGGATTGCTTTCAAAAGAAATAAATAAAAAAAGGGGCGAAATGTCATGAGACAGTGAAATATTATTTGGAAGAAAATAAAAGAAGAATAACGGAAAGAAAGAGATTTAGACTAGGAATTATAAATGCTAACTAGAGCTAACCCACTTTTATTGTTTGAAATCAGAATTACCCAAAGCAAGAGCTCAGAATTACCCAGAAGTAAGAACTCAGAATTACCCAAAAGCAAGAACTCAGAATTACCCAACCAAGTATTCCTGCCACCTTTATTTGTCATTATATCTGAGGGATAGGGTTAGCTTACACGACACTTCTTGGGAATAACTTTCAAGATTGTTTTACCCGAAGTCCAAAAATGCATTCTACTTTGAATTCACTTTACATCAACACTTAACTAAACGCCACATAAGAAAGATGAATAAAATTTTGTGAAAAAATAAACTCGAGAAAAAGTAAACGAGGAGAATTGCAATGTTACTTCTAGATACTACACGTGACTACTACATAAAACACAAAATGATATTCTAATCCAATCTATAATTTAACAATGAAAATTCATCGAACCTAAAGAGTACAATAAAGCTTTGCTATGAAAACAAAGAAAGTGTGACCAACATTTCGAAATGTAAACGGTAGGAATCAAAAAATATCTCCTTCTTTTTTTTGAACATCTCTAAACATAGCGGAAGTAATTATGGTATAGAGGAGAAGGGAGGGAGAGAGGGAAAAGAGAGAGGAGGTAGGGAATGTTTGTGTGAAACGCTGACAAAAGTAAGTAAGTAAGTGAGTGGATGGGTGAGTAAATGCGCCGATGCTGAAGTATTTGTGCTAAAATATTGGGTACTGACAATAGTTTGGTATTAATGCCTTTTGCATGCATAAGGGAAATATACGTGACTTTGCTTGCTGATCTTTAACTTGCGAATAACAGTGTAATTAGAATATTTATAATAATATTCACAAATTAATCAAATTATCAACAAAATGAATATTAATTTGCGTAAACAAAGATTTCGATTTTAGACATTAAAAAATACAGAAAGCACATCTGTAACAAAACATTTTTATTTGTGATAAAATTATTCAATAAAATAAAATATTAGTACATAAGTATAGCCATGAGATAATATTATAACCAAAGCTATAGACCTACTTACCATAATAGAATATATAAATCAATTTCAGACGATAAAACAAAGTCTTTGTGGCAAACTGAAGAATAAGCAACTAAAGAAATACAATCATTCTGAAATATACAAATAAACGAACAAAAAATTATACCAATTAAAGAAAAAAATCAATAATTTAAAATCAAAAATATTTTAACACATAGCAAAACATTTGAATTTGAGTAATTTCTTGAAAGGAACATCAATGCGCCAACATAACCCAATGTCCAACTATCTGGGAAATGATTTCACCATAACTGCAAGATCTCTTAATAATTGCTAAAACATAACCAAGATCTTGATCAATAATGGGATATTTTACAGCTTCAGTATTATAATCTATCCACCAATTCAACCAATGAAAAGAGATTCCAGAAGTGCAAATGCTGTACTGTCGAGGTTTTTTCCTTGACTTTCTATGATCCATCATATATATAATATATAGCTGACAAGTTGATATAACATTACAGAGCTGTGCAGCGCTGGTTACTTCTTCTTTTCCTTCCTTTATAGTATTGCGAGTAAAGTAATCTACTTGTCATCTTTCCCTGCCCTCTCCCTCGTCCCCTAATCTATTTGTAATGTTTTTATTTTAGAATTAAATTCTTTTTTCTTTTTTTTTTTTTTTTTTTTGAGGGGGATTTTTAAGTGGACAAATTCAGTAGGGATGATTGTTAGGAGAATACGAGTGGATAAATTTTACTCATTGCTTTCCTATTGTAATCTTAGAAAATTCATTTTAATAAACTCAATATTTAAAATGATTTATCAATTCGTTGGCTATATATATATATATGTAGTTTTTCAGCAATTATGGATGCTAAGATGTATGGCCCAAATCTACCAACATTGGTAGATTTGAAGAATCACTTGCGCGATGAACCGCTGTACCTCCGAGCGCTGGAGGATTATTTACGGAAAGCGGCGAGCATGGTATGTTTATTTTTTTATTTTTAATCTCGTTTATTTCCAATCTCGAATGTAATTTACTGATGGTAGATGTTTAATTTATTTATTGAACTTGTTGTTAGTTGCATTAACCATGATTTTTTTTTTTTTTAGATTAATGACTTGAGGGCGAGGTTGGAAGAAAATGGGCTCGAAGAGCGTGAGGATGAGGCCTTCGAGGTCCCAAGGGCGGATTTAACGCGTCGCCCAACTCCACCACCACCCCAGGAGGAGCTAGAAGTGTTCCGAGAGCTCCTGGAGCACGAGCAAGAAATGGAGCGACTACGCCAGAATGAAGAAATGCTCGTGCTCGACCTCCTCGAACGAGAACAAGAAGCCGAGCTGCAGCAGGAAATATGGGATGATGAACCAGAACCGGCACTGGTTCACGATGAAAGCAGCTTAGAGGAGGTTGCAGTGGCGGAGTGCTGGCCGGTACCACAGGAATGGAATGAGGAAATGCTAGATGTGGTACCAACAGCGTCAGTAGAGGTCCCAAGGCGCAGACAAGTGGAACGAATTCGAGAAATAGTACTGTAAGTCTCATTTTTAACGAAGAAATAGCAAAGAATGATGAACAATTTAATACACTGGTAAATGAGCATGTTGGATAAAAATTAAAGTCGTAGCAGCTAGCATTTTAAAAGTCTTGAATAAATATATTTCAGGCGTTCTCGAACAATACGCGTTCCAGTCATGGAAGAAGAAGACTGTGACGCAGTACAGTCTGGCCCGGCACCCTTCCAACCGCCGGT